TAATTATATATTTATTTTTTTTATTTGATAATGCATAAAAAAAATAAACAACCCAATTTTAAATTTCTCATTATTATAATTTAAATAACCCAAGGTGCTTCTTCTTGCACAAAAAAACAAACAATCAAAATTCTGGAGCAAGAATTGATTGATGGAGAAAAATTGTTATACGATTTTGTTTTACCGTATGAATTGTTTGAACAAGAATTGGAATTGATACGTTTGATTGATAAAACACCGAGTCCCGCGGTGTTGGAAAAAATATGGAGAAAAATTATGGAGAATGCAGTAAATGTTGCCTATGCAACTGGATCTTTGGAGCCAATATCTATAAAAATAATAGAAGCCGGTAAAAGGTTTTATCCACATGATCAATATTTATTTTCTTTAAGTACTATAACAAGATTATTATCACTTTACATAATCTCTAATTATCATCAACAATTGCTTCTACAACATTATCAACAACAACAATATTACCACCATCATAATCAGCAGCAACAGCAACAGCAACAACAACAACAACAGCAACAACAACAACAACAACAAAGTCAAGGAACACATGAATTAGTATTTAATGATGGTTATATTACAAATTTATTTAGAGAAATTAATATTAAATACAGTGAGATATTTATGAATTATGAATGTTTATTTGAATATAGAATTGATCCATTCGATTCTGAGGAAGGATTGAAATTATTGTTGGACGAGATAGTATATTTGCTTTATAAATGGATAGATGATAAGGTGGAAAGTAAAGATATGGATATTAGGAAGATGCTTCAATTGATTTCAAAATATGAACACGCAGCTAGCAGTTATCATCGAATATTTCAACAGGATTTGTCATTCAAATTTTTAGATATTCAACAAAAACTTGAAAATATAGAAATGAAGAGTTATTTGTATACTAGTTGATTTTTGGTGTGGCTGGCTACATATTTATTGTAAATAGATTGGTTTTATAAAACTTATTAGAATTTATATAGAAGTCAGTAAAATAATAATAATAATAGTCAAAAATCTTAAATAAATAAATGAATTGATATATATATAAATTTATTTATATTTTGATTATGTTAAAAAAAAATTAAATTAAAAATTTAGAATAATCCTCTTCATATATCATAAATTTTTCCCTTAATATTTTTTTAAATTAAATTTATAAATATACATTCCATGTCTATTTTAAATCTGCCTTAATATCATCACAAATGTTATTATAATAATATTATTATCATCACCATAATCATTATTAATCCAAAAATGAATAAATTATTGCTTCAATCATTTTCTTGGTCAGAATCTTTAACACACAAAATACTTTTTGATAATATTTTTTCTGCCATTAAAATTCTAAATTCTCTGATTTTTTGTTCATCAAATGCCTCCTCAATAATAGTCTCATCATCTATACCATCTGATAATAATTTAGCAAACATACAAACAAAAACACCACATGAATGATCATCTATCTGTGGTCCGTTGTTTCTCGTATTAATAAATTGATTTTTAAATGACCATCGATCTTTTATACAATCACCATTATTCTTGTTATTGTCATTATTATCATCGTTGCTATTATCATCATTACTACTATTACTGTTGCTATTATTATTATTATTATTATTATTATTATTATTAAATCGATGTTGAAATTCATCTTTTAAATATTGTTTAAGATTATGACCAACTGTTTTAATATGTCTGTTACCCAAAGAATCCCACAATTCAATTCTTCTTTCTCTGATTTTAATAACAGCAAGAATCCAATGTGAATCATTAACGTTTATTGGGACATATATAAATTGTTTACTAAAAATATCAATTTTTTTTGTCCATCTAATAACATTAGAATACGAATACACATTATCTTTCATCAACATTACATAAAAATATGTTGAAAATGCATGAATATTGCTTTCATATTCAGAATTGAGTATGGTGAAATATGCATTAATATGATCACACGATAACCATTCACATTTGTTAACAAGATCTTTCAATTGTTGTTGCGTTAAAGATTGTGAACCTATAAAAAGTTCTTCGGCATTTTCTTTCCTAAGGTAGGCCTGTAAACTTTTGCTTTTACCTAATTTACCATTTCTTTCCGGTGATTGGAAATATGGCGATTGCGATGATGTTTGTCTTCGATCTGCTCTTTGTAAACGTCGTAGTTTTGGTGGTGGTTCTAGTAAATAATCATCTAGTCCGTATGGAAGAGTTTCCATTTCCTGCTGGTGTTCATACACCTCTTCGTCCTCATTTTGTTGTTTATCAAATTTTAATCGTTTTTCTGGTCTGTGGAGCGATGATGGCGGTGATGATGGCGATGGTGATAATATTATTGGTTTATTGTTACTGATACGTTTCCTTGTTAATCTTGAAGAAACTATTTTATTTATAAGTAGCATAGAATTACAATTATAATTATGTTAAAAAGTAAATTAATTTATACAAATTATAACTTTATATCTTTATTTTTGTCATGTACTTGTATTTTTTGGTGGGCAAGATCTTTGACTAAAAATGAAATTAAGAATGTAAGTTTCTTTGCCATGTTAAAATTATATGATAATTGTTATATATATGTATGTATGTATGTATTACATTATTTTTCAATATTTACCTTTTTCTCTCTTCGAATTCATTTTCATTGAAATCAAATACATCTACAGAACAAACAACTTCTTCAACATTATTATCAACATTTATAACCGCAAGATTAGTTGACGTCGAGTCCATTTTTGTAAAATGTTTGTAATCTATTGAATTATTATTATCAAATTGTTTCTTTGTTAGTCAACGCGTCCGTAAAATATTTAATTAGTTACACGAATTAATATCATTATTTTTTTTTTTTGTTTTTTTTACAATTGGAAAATTTTCCAAAGAACTTTACTGATATGTTACACCTTTTGCCTGCGCCACACTCCCCGCATATTGAAACAGCAATGACGTAATGACATAATAATAACAGACTGACAATTTTATGTTCCATAATGAATTATTACTATTACCCTGTCTATAATAATAATGGGATTCCCCTTATAATGGACATTTTTTCGTAATTATAAATAGTAAGTCAAATAATCCGTTAGTTATAGAGAGTGCGAACTGTACAATTTCTAATACTAAGACATTGAAATTTTACAACTCCTAATTAGTAGTAAATTTGTAGACCTTGTTTTCACCAACATGTAAAGAAGACAGCGAGCAACATAATTATGCAAAAAAATAATATAGTTTTTTTGCTTCCTCGTACCTTTACTTTAAATTAATTGTTACGCAGATCAATTCTCAATAATCACATTCGATCGACAAAGAAATCGATTGATTGTTCATTAAAGAGAAATTTAATTATAAAAAATTGAATCGGGGACAAAAAGGGGACAAAAAGGAAATTCGTTATTATTATTATTATAGAGAAATTTTACTTAGTGTTCGTTATAATAATAAATATTTTAGTATCTGCAAATTTTGGGAGATGACAAAATATCGAAATAATATTGTTAATATATAGGACACCTAATAGAAAAACTGAAATTAATTACATTATTGATGATGATGATATAGATTTTTAATAAAATACTATATGTTTTAATAATGAATGAAATGATACCTTTCAGTATTTTACATACTTTATATGCGAAATCAATAACGTACCTTTTCAGTATGTTACAATTTTGAGATGATGAAATTAATTCAGAAGCAAGGATTATAGGTAGAAAAAAGTATTTAATTTAATAAAGTTGAAAGAAAATATGATATGAAGGGAAATCAGAATATTATCAATAGAGAACTTGTAGAATAAATTGTTTTGATTTCAATAATGATTTAGATTCCACTATTCCCAATCTTGCACTAAATTAGAAAATTTCAATAATGTTTAAATTCATCATTTATGACAGGATTAAGATGAACCAAAACGAAAGCGAATTGTGTTACTTTAAGCTTGTCTTTTTCCCATAATCAATCTAACCAATTTTAATATTTATTATGTCTCATAAAATTGGGCGTCATATATATATCTTGGTCACAATTTATGTTCATTGGCAAAATACCTTTATGCACTTTTCAATAAAAATTATATTTATCAAAGATAGATAATACCGGAAAAGAATATGCTTGGGATCAAGATTTAATTCTAAGATAATCATTTATATACATATTTATAGTACTAATTAAGTAAATAAAAAATGTTTTTGGATAATGCAAAAAAAAAAAAAATTTAAATAATAAAAATAAAATTTTACATTTAATGATAAAAAAATGTCTGTCGTTAAGAAGTTTCAATGACATCCAACATAACCATACAACCTAAAAGTAACAAAACTTCAAGTGCTCTATGTTCTTTAACATCTAACCAAGCTTCTTTAAAAATAGTTAATTCTCCAATAGCATTTCTATCATTACTATCATTAGAATTTGATGAGTTTCTTGATAAAGTTGCAATTTTTATTTTATTTTTTTTAGGAGATGGAGAAATTACACTACTGCTAAATGATAAAAATTTTGGAGTAGTAGTATTTGGAGAAGGAGATATATCATATTCTACTAATTCGCATACTAAATCACAATCCTTTGCTCCCAATTGGGCTGGTTTCCATCTATAATCCTTTCCTTCAAAATCAAAATGCCAAGTATTACTAAACGCACCTGTTCTTCTTAATTCTGCTTCTAGAAAAAATGCTTTGCTTCTTATGGTTATTATTGGTTCTCCTACTAATGATATACGTTTTGCTTCACCTATTATTAATTCATTATATACTTGTTTCAATACACAATGATATAGTGGTGAATTACTGATACTTTTTGAATATATTGTATAAAAAATAGGTTCATTATCTTCTACTTTCCCATCTTCGTTTTTGGTTTTTATTATTTCCTCATTATCATTATCATTATTGTCTATTTTATCGTTATTATCATTGTTAATACTATCATCGTGGTTGTTGTTGTTGTCATTTTCTTCATCAATTTCTTTGATACTATCATGTATTATCATGTTATCTTTTGGTATAGAAAATGGATATAAAACTTCAACCTCACCAGAGAAAGGTGAAGCACGAGCTAAATGATATGTTAACGAATCTGTGAATACATCTTTGTCAAAGATATTTAAATTATATTGACTGTTACGATTACTAGTATCAGCGCAATTTAGCCTAGAATAAGTAGTAGAAGCTTGAAATGTTGGGTTAATTGTAGTAGTTGTAGCTGTAGAAGGAGTTGTAGAAATGGTTGCTGTTGTTCCTGCTATTTTAAATCATTATTATGTGTTCGCCTAATAATTCATTTATTTAATGATAATTATTTATATTTACCTTTAGTATTTATGTCATCCTCAGTGCTAAAACTTGTCGACTCCTCTTCAGTAAACGATTTGTGAGAGGGTACCTGCCCTTGATTGACTTGATTTTTAACAGTTTTTGAAAATAATTTATTCATTTTAGAAGAAACGAAAATTAAGTTGGTGAAACGGAATCAGCGCACAAAATTTTCTTGTGGAAATTTTTTCTAATGATCGTCGGAAATAATAAAATTAAAAATATTTTACCGGAAAAATTAAATGAAAATCATAATCATAATCAGGTAATTCGGACATTTTCCGAAAGGCAAAACCTTTATCCACGCACAATGACAAATGGATAAAGGGTTTTCCTGTTCGGAAAATACCTTTTATGCGCTGAATGGAACTATACATTTCAGGATTGTGTAATTGTCAATACATAATGAATGAAACGGGTGTTACAAAAAAAAAAAAGGAGTTTTACAAAAACAAAAAAGGCGAAACACTTTTGCCGAAACAAATTTTTTACTAAAATATAATTTTTGGGAAGCATGAAATAAAAAGATTTTTACCTTTAATTCGTACACGTAGATCTGTACAGATTTAATAATTATAATTAGCTCCTATCCTAAAGTTGGAAGGATGGTTGCGATCATTGTTGTCATTCTGGTTATTTTTAATTAATTATTAATTAACGAAAGAATACAACTCAATTAAATCCGTGCAATATTTGACGATAATACTATATCTCTTAGAAAATTGTTTCGTAAAATTGATTACGTTGTATATAAACTTTGATCATTGATCATTAACAGTTATTACACTTATCCTGAAAGCGCTCCAATTTTTTAAAACGTTCAAAGGTTGTATTTATAGTAACAATAAAATATATCATTTAATTAAATCAAGCCTTTTTCAAAAACGTGGGGAAACACTTTCCCACCATAAACAATTCATTATTGTCAAAGGAATCAATCAAGCTTTTTTTGAAAATGTAAAGAAGGTAGGTACATTATTGATAATATTAAACAGCTATGACTTTTTTGAAAATGTGAAGAAAATACTTTCCAGCCACTAAAAAGGCACAATAATTATTGTTGCTCAAAATAATAATCGTAATAATAATAATAATAATAAAATAATGTGTTATATTTTTGTTGCCAAAACAAACTTCCTCTTCAGGATGCATTTGATCTGACTGTTCATAAAACTCAAGGATTGACCATGACATATATGTTTACTGAAGGGCGAGTGTATGTTGCATTGAGTGTAAACTGCAAATCCTTGATTTTGATTAAAAATTTTCTAGGGCTGTTTTAGAAGAGTATAAAATATTAGATGCTACGGGTATTGATGGTTGCAAAACTTACAACGTTATAAAAGAAAATATAATTTATATTGTTTGAATACTTGTGTGGTTATTACACGAATTCACAGCAACCTCTTGTTAAAAATTTTTATAAAAAAAAATTCTGTATCATTAAAGCTTTCAACGAATATTTTCTTGTATTCAAAGGAATTCTCTGAATAAAGCTATTAACATCCAAAAACGCTATTAAGTTTTCTTCAAGTTGAGATTACTTTCCCACGTTGCTTGATAAGTGTGATAAAATAGATGTAAAATACTCTAATCTTATTAGCATAGTGGACACTGTTGCAGATCACAAAAAAATGATCAACATAACATATGTTATGGTGAAAGTTCTTGCAAAAGTTTGATTATAAAAGTGTGAGATAATTTTGATCTTGCTGATGATCTGGACTTAGAGAGGTTACAGCTATATTCTAGTGAAGTTTCAGAAGCAACTGGGTCTGTGTAACAGTCTGCACATTATACAAATCACTGTTGCACAAAATGAGTGTCCATTATGCTAATCTTATTACTTTATGGAGGCATTGGTTAATTAGTATTAAAACTGTTTTGATAGCAGTGACACTAAGAAATGTAAGAGTAGAGTGAATATCCAAAACAAAGAATTAAATGCAATTACTTCTGTAATAAAAAGTAGGTATTACGTGGGGCATTTGAAAAGTTTTGTCAAAATGACAATCTTATGTATAACTTTGTACAGATTTTTTTAAATGAAAATAGTCGTTTTTGTCTATTAAATAAAAAAAAAATTATTAAATTTTGTTCATTAATTATAAAGCTATTGACATTTAAAAATTTGCTAAAAAAAACAAATGGAAAATTTTAATTGTGAACATCAACGTTACTACATTTTTGTAAGCTGAAAAAATGGTAAGAGTGCGAATCAAATTCATATGGAATTGCAGGTTGCTGAAGGACCTAAAGCACTAAGTATTTGTAGTATTTATCGCTGGATTGAATCATTTGAAAGTGGTGATGAAAACATTAAAGATGATTCACGTTCTGGATGCCCAAAAGAAATTGTCACCCCAAAAAATGTTGCAGAAATTGAAGAACTTATTGTTGAAGACTCACATATATCAATTAAAACATTAGAGGAATTAATGGGTATTTCTACTGAGAGAATTCATTATATTTTGCATAATGAATTGGAAGTTTCAAAAGTATGTGCAAAATGGGTCCCACATGTCTTAACTGAAGAAAATAAGGAAAAAAGAGTTGAACTTTCTGAACAGCTTTTAGAAATTTTGGAGAAGGGTTTTAATAACATAGTCACTGGTGATAAATCTTGGTTTCACTACTTTACAGTTTCAAGCAAAGAGGCTAATAAAGTTTGGATAAGTAAAGGTGAAAGCAGAACACAAATCACAAGGACAGCACAAAACAGCAAAAAACGAATGTTCTGCATTTTTTTAACAGAAGGGATTGTGACTAGAATTGTGGTACCAAAAGGACAATCAGTTAATGCTAAATACTATAGTAATATCATTTTGCCAGATGTATTTTCAAATTGGAAGGTAATGACAAACAAAAAAACTGTAAAAACTTTGATGTTGCATCATGACAATGCATCATCACACAAGGCAAAAATTGTAGCAGAATTTTTGGAGGAAAACAAAGTAACTGTACTGCCTCACCCACCCTACAGTCCAGATCTAGCACCATGTGACTTTTTTCTATTTCCTAAAATAAAAAAAGAATTGGGTGGAAGAAAGTTTGATAAGGTGGAAAATCTTGCGCATGCTATCCAGTCAATTGCTGATAATATCCCAAAAGAGGAATATCACAAATCTTTCCAGGAGTGGCAAAGAAGGCTGAAATGTTGTATAGATGCAATGGGAATTATTTTGAAGGAATGGTATAAGTTTTTGGAAATGGAATAAGCTTTTGGAAATTGTATATACATATATTGACTGAAATACAAATCCAGTCTATGTAATTTTTAAAATTTATTATCTCAATAACTAGCCAATAAAAAAGGGCAAACTTTTTTTTATTTGAAAGATAAAAATGACTAATTTTTATAAAAATATTTTCAAACTCATTACGTTTAAAATCATAAAATTACATGGTTTTACAAAAAAATTTCCAGTTGTTTTTACTAATGAACTTTAAAATTCAATATCTCAGTAATTAGTAAATAAAAAATCCAATCTATTTTTTATTTGAAAAGGAATAGAGTGTCTTTTATTTAAAAAAAAATTTAAATTAATTATACTCAAAATTATAAAGTTACAGGACCAGTGACAAAACTTTTCAAATGCCCCACGTATAATAAAGAATAAAAAAATATTGTTTTTATAGAAATTCAATGTTTTAATTTTAATTATAATTAAATATTTCGTCAATTAAAAGGTTTTATATACATCTATCAGAATAATAAATGTTTGGTAATTAGGTATCATGATTATTATCAATTTGTTCACATGGATATTGTAAAGATGGGGTAAAAGTAATAGAAACAAATGAAATTATTGTGCGAGTTTATTACAAAAGTATTAATGGCAATTTACGGTGGGTAATTTAATAAGAGTTGTTCGTTTATTTGTTTATAATCAAATGTTCTTTATTTTATTCTTGGAAACCTAAGCTACAAATTGATATAATGATTATTACATTAGGATAAATGACTTTGATTTGGAAAATGTTACCTATAAAAGAAAACTAATAGATTATATATATAAGCAAAATTTTAAACCACACGCAAACCTTACTTCCCTTCAATAGGATTAATAATGTATTCAATAATAACTTGATTGACCTTGGAATGTGTAATGGTGCAATTGGTGTGTGTGTAGCCTTAGATTTCATGCAATTGTTCTGGTGATTTTATTTTATTTTATTGCTATTCAATCCTTTCCTTTTACATGTATGTCTCTATATACTACATGTCCATTACAATGTTTTATGATAATTGTTCTGAGAGTATGGTTTCTTGACAAAACTCCTCCGGAAATCAATCGGCGGAGCTTCGACATGTTACACACTAATTGTTTATTAGAGTTTCAGCAGAGTTTCGGTAGTCATTAAGAGGTTTCGGCAAACAACCTTATCTGAGACCAGGCTTGGTTGCTCCCATATAGGCATTGATCGCTAATTAGGGTTAGTGCTCATGTGACATTTGCTTCAGGTTACCCTTCCCACTAAAGTACAAAGTTGGTGATTTGAAGTTCTAGAACTCAGGAGATCGTAACCTGAGTTGCTATTTTGTTAATGGCACACACTTACTCACAAGCAAAAGCTTGGATCTGGAGTAGTTGATTATTTGAACAAAAGCCCAAGCCACACATCATTTAAATAGTAAATAAAGTTAATTGAATGAAATTTATCAAAGGAACAGAGAATGATTAATTTATATGGAACATACTATACCAAAATCTAAACTATTTTATTTTACAATTCCAGAAATCATATGACCAAGTAGCCAAATGCGGAAGTTATCCAACAAACTCTTTGAAAAAGAAAGAGCTCAAACGCAGTTTCAGAGTCCCAACTCCACTCTGAATTGCAACCTCCTGAGCTACAACAAGTTGCAGATTCTCAACCATTCGGAATTCTGCAGCCCTTAGAGCTGCATTTTTTTGGTCACAGATCCATCATTACCCTAGAGGTAAAGCAACCTTTTGGTTTTCCTGGTAATAGCAGCCCAGGTGCTGCGAGTGAAGATTAGGATTCAAAAAAAACCCTTGACAATGATAAATTCCAGCGCCAACTCCCCGAATTCAGTTGCACCGTTGTATCATCGGAAGTGTCTCGATCAGCTTAGCCTTATGTACACGAGGAAGG